GAGTATTATGCCTCCATCAGAAAGGATGAATACCCAACCTTTGTAGCAACATGGACGGGACTGGAAGAGATTATGCTGAGTGAAATAAGTCAAGCAGAGAGAGTCAATTATCATATGGTTTCACTTATTTGTGGAGCATAACAAATAACATGGAGGACAAGGGGAGTTAGGAGAAGGGAGTTGAGGGAAATTGGAAGGGGAGGTGAACCATGAGAGACTTTGGACTCTGAAAAACAATCTGAGGGTTTTAAAGGGTCGGGGGGTGGGAGGTTGGGGGAACCAGGTGGTGGGTATTGGAGAGGGCACAGATTGCATGGAGCACTGGGTGTGGTGCAAAAACAATGAATACTGTTATGCTGAAAATAAACTTAAAAAAATTAAAAAAAATTTTTTCATTGCTCCTCAAACAGTAAGTTTCAACATGTCACCTTATTTCTAAAAAAACAAACCCCCAAAACTCAAAACTTTGTCCTGATGAAATTTTATATGCTGACTAGAAATGATTTTCTAGATGTGTACTCTCAAAGGCAAGACTGCTACCTGATTTGCAGAGCCCAGTACAAAATGAAAATACAGTTTCCCTTATTAAAAGGTTATTAAAAATTCCAGTTGGAATGTGACAGAAGAGCATTAAATCAAGTGTGTGGTCCTCTGCAGCATCAGGTCCTGTGGGGCTATAAGGTAAAGCAGGCTCATGACATGAGCCCTGCTCACAGAACTCATAACCCTGACTCTGGCCTTGACCTTCTTAAGTTACCTCCTGTAGACCTGAATAAGGACTCATAATATGGATAAGACAGAGGCACTGGAGACCTTTTATTAAGTCTGTCCCATGGTCGCTCTAGTTTCTCCACTAAAAGCATCTCAAGCCAATGAGACCTGTAGTGAAGTAAGACATGGGAGAAAAGTAATGCTACCAGGCCACAAGTCTGATCACTTGTATTATGAGAAAGGAGAAGTAGAGACCACTTTTCATCTTAGAAGTCCAGAGACAGGATGTGGGGAGACGAAAGAGGAAGTTCTGGGAAACTCACACCACCCCACAAAGAGGGACTAGCACTTGGCTTTCATCAGAACGGTGCGGGAACTTATGAAATATATCCATGTGCCCTGGTCGTTTAGAGATGAGCCATATTAATTTATGTTTAACTTAAAAAGCCTGGCACTGGTCATTCAGATTATTTGCTTTTTCCCCTTTTAAAATTATAGACAAAAATGATGTTTTCAGTCTTTTTTTTCCTCTCTTAAAAGTAGAAAAGAGTGCATTTCTGAAAAATGGTTTTCATTAAGTCTTGAACTTTGAATCAATCTTCGGTGTACATTAAAGTATTGTCTATCAATTTTGTAGGCAATCAAGAATCAGAGCAGGTGTTTTTAGAATCAAAATATATAGGTTTAGACTCAGGTCCCTCTTCTTACAGATTCTGTGATCTTGGAAAAGTTAATTAACCTCTCTGAGCCTCTGTTTTTATAATACTTTTTTTTTAAGATTTTATTTATTTGACAGAGATTACAAGTAGGCAGAGAGGCAGGCAGAGAGAGAGGAAGGGAAGCAGGCTCCCCGCTGAGCAGAGAGCCGAACGCAGGGCTTGATCCCAGCACCCTGGGATCACAACCTGAGCCGAAGGCAGAGGCTTAACCCACTGAACCATCCAGGTGCCCCTCTGAGCCTCTGTTTTTTAATCCATAAAATGGAAAATTAGAAAAAATAATAACAACCTCAGCAATTTTTTGTAAGCATTCAGTATATAAAGGTACTTAGTGTAATACCTGGAACATTGTAAGAGCCCAGCAAATGAGAGAGACATTGTTTGATATAAATACATATGTATTTCACATATAAATACATTTATATTTCATGCATGTATATACTCTTAAGTATGTCATATATATCTGCATATATAAAATATATTTTTTCAAGTTTCTAAGTTTTGGGCTCTCATATATTGGAGAGGGGGAAATGCTTGACTAGAAGAACTGGCTGTAATAATAGAGTTTCTCTTGGAGCTTCTGCCTGTTGCTGGTAACTCAACATTCAACTTTACTGCTTTCAGATGAAATGACTACTGTCTGCCCAACAAGAGACTTTCTCAGCATAAACCTGATGCTTCAAATCAAACTGACCTGAGTGTTTACTTGAGTATAAATCTAGTATAATCCTCAGAAAAAGGCAGGTGTGCTTCCTGTCTGAAATCCTGGTGATGGGCTTTCAGGCACTCTGTCAAACATTGATTGGGATGTAATGAATTGCCGTGTACTGAGGTTATCTTGTTTAGACACAACCTCTCTCCCTAATCCCTCTCCATCTGATGTGTCTTTTTTATGTGTCTCTTGATTTTAACCACAGAAAACAAAACAGGAAATACCTGAAGCTCTAGTGTCCCTTTTGCTGGAACTACGACAGAGCATATATCCAGATTTGCTTTCCAAATTTCAGTTTTAAAGCTCCCTCAAAATTGTTGATAACAGCTGCTTAGTTATATGCCCAGTATAGAATTCACTAAAAATTTTTCAAATAAATTGAAAAATAAAGCAAAAGCAGAAAAAAGCAGAAGCAATTGTATATCCAATATAAACTACACTAACTTTAAAAACGCAAATCAACATGAAAATAACAAATGCTACTCTGTTGTTCTGACAGTGAATGAAACGATTTCAACAGTAGTCTTTACAAACTCTATTTGTGAAATGTGTAATTTTTTTGTGTGTTGACCTCACAGGAAGTTCCCCTTGAACTGTACTTGGAAGTTTCACTGAATAAATTATTCTTGGACTTTTGAATTATTAATCTTGTCTGCATGATATGCAAATTAGACGTCACTATGTCAGTGGCACAGCACTGGGTTGGAAGCTGTATCAAGTTGCTGGCAAAGAATTTCTGTCAAGGGATCAGGGCCTTCCAACGGAATGGTAAGTTATAATGCAACTCATGTCACCTAGGTATACAGAGTAATGCCGGGCTTCCCATTAGGGGTTTCTTTTAAAAGTGGCCTGTGAGCAGTTAAGGTTTTAAGTAATGGGCAGATGAACTGTTGAACTGTCATTCATAACATGTAGAACAATGAAAGAAACTAAAAGGAAGTCATAATTTTTCTTCTACATTTATTTTTTACTAAATGTATTATCTTTTTTAATTGCCAAATACTAAATTTATTTTACTTAAAGAGGTTTATCACATTTCCTAAATGTGACAACATATTGGTGACATATTTCAACAAAAAGAGTAATCAGGTTTACTTAAATACAACTACTTAGAGAAAAATTTTAAAGTTCCTAAATCATACAAAACAATCAATATATATAATATTTCATGTTTAGAAAAAAATACATGAGAGAGAATCTCAAGGCATTCTAAAAATTAAGTTTAGTATTTATCTTTGTAAGAATTACAATTATGTTTGTAAAAATTACAATTGTTCAACAGTAGAATTCACTAAGGAAAATTGGGAAATTACAAAAACTATTGCTAGTGTACCTTCCAGAACTTTCTATAATTGGTGAATTTAAAAAAAAAAATTCATAAACATATAGTTTGATAACTTAATATCACTTTTTTTAACTTTTTTTTTTTAAGATTTTTTTATTTATTTGTCAGAGAGAGAGGAGCGAGAGTGAGCACAGGCAGACAGAGTGGCAGGCAGAGGGAGAAGCAGGCTCCCTACCAAGCAAGGAGCCTGATGTGGGAGTCGATCCCAGGACGCTGGGATCATGACCTGAGCTGAAGGCAGCTGCTTAACCAACTGAGCCACCCAGGCGTCCCTTACTATCACTTTTTAATATCTTGACTTATGATGTAAATTTTGGCATATGTAAAAAATAAAGTTATCAAAATCAAATGATTGTACCTTTTCAGTATGAACATATATTTCTTCATTCAAATAGTTTATTAATGAAAATAGCAATTAGCTAAAAAAAAATACTCATATTGTCATGTAAATTTGCCTTAAAGAATCAGTCAAGGGTTACAATGCACAAATGGTCTTTGTTTAATTGTGATAATCACAAGAAAAAGTAATTTAAAAGCTAATGAGCTACCAAATATATTTTTAAACTTAAGCTTCAAAACTACATTTTTAAAAGCTGACTAGACCTACAGTGAAAGAAACATTCTAAATTAAAAATGCATACTACTGATCTGCTTATGTGAGTAAATTGAATATTGTTTGTAATTTAATAATTCTAACAGGTTTAGATATATGTTTGCATATATAATTAAAGATTTCACTTTACTGATAACAAAAAACTAAAATTAAAAAATTAAAATTAAAATTATATTAAAAATTAAAAAATAATTCATCCAACATAACTATAACCTATTTATCATGATCTCTGTTTCCTAAAAATTAAAAATACAACCACTAAAAAGTAGAAGAGAGAGTATTAATTTTTCATGAGGAATTTCCCTTCAATTAAAGAATTCCCTTAAAGGATCAGCTTACTTCGTCAATTTGTAGAATTGCAATGGCCACACTAAAACACCCTCAACTACAAACATCATCTAATTTGGACTCCAATACCCAGAAAATTATGGGACATTGAAATTGGCCAACATATATAAGACAGCCTGACATTTATAACCACAGTTTATTAACATTAAAGATTTAAGAAAATTATTTTAAGAATAAAATAAACATATCAAAAAGCAGATTGCAAAATATTATAAAGAGCATAATCTCATTTTTGTAAAACATGAATTCAAATAAATGTTAAATTATAAGATTGTATCCAAGTATTAGGAGTAGTTGGTTTACAGACAATTTTCATTTCTTCTTTTTGCCTACCTGTATCTTCTTAGTGAGTGTTACAGAATAATATGCATTTTTAAAAGTTATTTAAAAAAAAAAAAAGGATAAAGCAACCTGGGAAGCAGGACAAAGGTGACTAGTCATTCTTCTGCCTTATTCCAGTTCTGGTATTCTCTACCTCTATTGCCTCCCTGAATCTCCATTCCTAGTGTGTAGCTCGAAGGAGAAGACTTCTTCATGGCTTCTGCATGGCCCCTGACTTGCCCAAGTGGGAGTTACTGGGAACTTGGCAGATGGAGTTATGCATGTCTTCATGTCTCTCTTTTCCTGCTGTGGCAGTCAAAACTTCCAACTTCACAGAAGCTACTGACATAAGTCAGAACGTTTAAGAACTGCATCACCAGAAAAATAAGAGTGAGGATAGAAAAAGAGGAAATTCAAAATGAAACAAGTGAGTCTTAAGGAAACTTTCCATTGTCTTAATGTTCCATTGAATATGTGCACCTGCATTTTGAGCAATCCGCAAATACTGAAGTTGTCTAGATCTGAGCTCTGGGCAATTTAAGGCTTGGGCAAATAGTTTACAAAGAGAGGAAGGAGTGCTGTAAGGAGGTTGCCATATCATAGAAGGCAAGGAAGAGAGTGCTTCCAGAAGTCTTGGAATTGAAAGCAGTGGGGAAGAAAGTTAAAAATAATTGTGAAATATTACTACTAATCTATAAAACAAAACCTATTTAACAAAACCATTAACCTTTTTTGCTATATTTCTAGAAATCTCAATAATATCAAATACATGGTGATTTGGGGAAACAAATAGAAAATCCAGTAAACTGAAAGGAAAAAGGACATATTAAAAATTATCTGTTGTCCCATCCCTAGTGATAAAACTCTTAATACCAGTGCGCCTGGGTGGTTCAGTGGGTTAACCCTCTGCCTTCAAAAAACTGATCCTGAAAATATATATGAAGTTTTCTCTTTGACAAATGTATGTCTAAACAAAGCTACCTAACTACTACAATTGCCTATTTTGAATATTAGTCATGTTATGAGCAATGTCAGATTTAAAGTGAAATAGAGCAATGGTCTTATCTGACCTTAGAGGAAATATTTATAAAAAGTGTTTTCCAAACAGTCAAATGTTTATCTTCATCTCCACGCAGGAAGCATTTATAGACCATCTCCTATCTGGCAGTCACTATGCCAGATGTAGAAGATAAACATGAGTAAGATAAAGTTGCCAGAAATTCAAAGTAACGTAGTTTATGATGAGAACACAAAATGGGAGAACTGAACTTGGACTGGTAGGTTAGAGAATCTGTCTTGGGAAAACCACACTCAAATTGAAGTCTGAAAGGACTGCAGATACAAGGGCAGTGTAAGTGATAGGGCAAGGATCAAAGGGGGAAAAGGTCAGTGAGAAGGGATTCAGTGAACTGAGCATTGGGAAAGTACCTGTGCATTCAAAGAATAGGAAGAAGGAGATCAAGGAGGAGACTCATGCTAGGTGAGGCTGAAGTGGCCTATGGGAACCAAATCATGCATGACTTAAGTCCTCATTAAGGATTAGGACTTTATTACCTAGACAGTGGAAGGTCATTGAAATGTTTTGGCTGAGGAGAGTTAATATGATCCGAATTTTGGTTGCAGTTTTCAAGATTGTCTGGCTCTCAGGTTGAAGGTAGATTGAAAGGGAGCCAGAGAAGGTGTGAGGAGACCATAAAAGATCCAATACAGTCTAAGATAGAGATCATGGTGGCCTGGACTAGAATGGTGATGAAGGTGATAGACTTGAGAAATAGCCAAACACTACAGGCAACAAGACTTGATAGCTTACTTGTTTTTGGAGATAAGCTACAGCAGACTTCAAGGATATTGCTTAGATATACTGTGAGCTTTCAGCATATTGTGGTGACTCTTGTTATCATTACTAAGACTTTAAGCCTCATATTTTAAATTTTAAAAAATCATGTTTTAAAACTAGAATTATATCCAAATTTAGTAAAATAACCATAATTCTTTGACAATATGGAAACAAAATAAAATCAATTAAAATAGCAAGACTGGAGTTATAAGAATCCCTGTGTCCTCTCCCAGGTTCTGTTTCGATTAAATCTGACTCAGCAGGTGGTTGAACAGCTGTGGTCGAACATCTGGGGACAGAAATAGGAATTAGATGCTCCACTTATCTCATTATACCATTTCTTGGCCTCTTTACTGTTTGTCAAGTCCTCTCTCTGTGTTTCCACCTGCAGGCCTTTGCATGTGCTTTCCTTTATGTCTGGGACATTTTTGACCATTATATGACATGCATTTATTTGTTTCCTGGCTCTAGCCAAAAGAGTATAAATTGTTTGAGATTAGGAACTTTGTTTAATTCAATGCTCTTAGCCCCAGTGCCTAGTATATAATTCAAAGGTATTCTGATTAATATTTGTTAAAATAATTATATTAGTGATATATCTGTATATGAATATGTATCTATATGCACTCCTTCCTAATATAATCAAACTTTCATAGTTCAAGTTGTAAGTGTTCTTTTTAAATTATTATTATTATGTTCTGTGCAGTTTTATCTCTAGTTGTAGTCTAGTGTTCTAACCTTCTCTTTTCTCTTTCCTCTTTAGGCGTGGAACACAACTTGCCCAAATTGGCTGGTGGCAGAGGCTGTCCTGGAAAAGTATTACCTTTCCATTTTTTATGGGATCGAGTTTGTTGTGGGAGTCCTTGGGAACTGCATTGTTGTTTTTGGCTACCTCTTCTGTCTGAAGAACTGGAAATGCAGTAACATTTATCTCTTCAACCTCTCTATCTCGGACTTGGCTTTTTTGTGCACGCTTCCTATGCTGATTAGAAGTTATTCCAGTGGAAAGTGGATATATGGGGACCTGTTGTGTATAAGCAACCGATATGTGCTTCATGCCAATCTCTACACCAGCATTCTTTTTCTCACTTTTATCAGCATTGATCGATACCTGCTCATGAAGTATCCTTTCCGGCAACACTTTCTACAAAAGAAGGAGTTCGCTGTTTTAATCTCTTTGGCTATTTGGGTTTTAGTAACCTTAGAGCTACTGCCCATACTTCCCCTTATAAATCCTAATATAGCTGCCAATGGCACCTACTGTACTGATTATGCAAGTTCTGGGGACCCCCAAAACAGCCTCATCTATAGCCTGTTCCTAACCTTCTTGGGATTCCTCATTCCTCTTTTGGTGATGTGCTTCTTTTATTTCAAGATTGCTCTTTTCCTAAAGCAGAGGAGCAGGCAGCTTGCCACTGCTTTGCCCCTTGAAAAGCCTCTCACCTTAGTCATCATGGCAGTTGTGATCTTCTCCATGCTTTTTACTCCCTACCACATCCTGCGGAATGTGAGGATTGCTTCACGCCTGGAGAAGTGGAAGGAGTACCGGTGCACTCAGGTCGCCATCAACTCCTTCTACATTGTGACTCGGCCTTTGGCCTTTCTGAACAGTACCATCAACCCTGTCTTCTATTTCCTTATGGGAGATCACTTCAGGGAGATGCTGATGAGTAAACTGAGGCACCAGTTCAAATTCCTTACATACATTAGAAGGTGAGGTCCTGGACTGATGTTTCCATGCAGCAAAAAGTGAGATGCTTGTGTAACAGATTATTTTATATGTGCAGCAGCCAATTCCAGTTTGATTTGACTCATAGATGTAAATTGGAGAGGGACAGACCTGACACTGTTTTAAAGACACACTGCATCTGGAATATGTGAAAAGAAGAAAATTGGAAGTATTTATTGGTTTCTTCACCCAAGAACTGAAAGGAGCTGGACTGGCATTGTCTAATGTTTGAGCACGGAAGTCCAAAATCTTAGGTGTTATAAGACTTTCTCCATCAGTGTAAAAGGAATAACAGATAGATAAAGCTTCAAATAGTCTGTATTTAATCACTGGTCAGATCGTTAAAAAAAAAAATGTGTTGGCAACATTCTCTATGTCATTCTTATTTGTTTGTTCTTACAACTTAATGTGAAAACTGAGTAACAGATTAGGCATACACTCTTAAAGACTGTTGTTAGGAATTGTGCTCTTGAACAAAATTTAAAGTAAACCATAGCAACAAGCAAGAAAGCAAGGTGTTGAGTTCAATGATGCCTATATGACATTTATTTATATTGACATGAATAGGGGTCAAGTTGTAACTATAAGTCCTATTTTGTTGTATGGTTTTTAGTGCAATGAATTGTATTAAATGGAACCTAAGGAGACAGTTCAACAAAGAGAGAGACAGGTTTGAGCTTGTCTCTCAGGGAATTTAGGTGTAGATGATTACTAGAAGAGAGACCACGGAGGGTTAGAAAAATCTGAGTTCTAGAACACAAAGTGCCTATCAGAAAACCCAAGGTAAGACAAAACAAACAAACAAACAAAAAAACCAAAGGTGAATGCTTTTGGACAACTTTATCTCCAAAGATAGTGACTTTTATCTGGTGTGAGCCTTGTTTTCACAGAACATTACATAAGGCCATTGAAGGAAGTATTCTAAACAAAATGTACTTTATGAAATTGTAGAATATATGGAATATTTATGTGCTTATCAATATAGATTAACCAGACACCACTCCGTGCCACAAAATAAATTTATAGGAAAAAAATACATGGATGCTACCTTAGCTTTTTAAAGTCAAATGAATACCACATAATAGTTCATTTATAAGCAACAAAATTTGTCAAAAGCCATATATCTATGCTCTTTTTCTTATAGTCATTAGCTATAATATGAAGCGTACAGAAAGCATTATGAGTACAAAGAAATAAAATTCTATTGTCCTTCCTGTTCTGAGATACTTTGGTGCTGTTATATTCTGACATTACAAAAACCCAAAATAACCCCAGTTAGTGCTTCCATACTTGAAGCTACTGAGATATTAGAAAAACATATTACTCGGGGTGCCTGGGTGGCATAGTGGGTTAAAACCTTTGGCTCCGGTCGTGATCCCAGGGTCCTGGGGTCAAGCCCCTATCGGGCTCTCTGCTCAGCAGGGAGACTTGCTTCTTCCTCTCTCTCTCTCTCTGCCTGCCTCTCTGCCTACTTGTGATCTCTGTCAAATAAATAAATAAAATCTGTAAAAAACAAAACATATTACTCACAAAGGGTTTCTTTTCTTACTTATTATTAGGTTTCAAGATATTTTTCATGCCTTGCCTTTATTGTCAATATTTTAAAAATTTCCATATGCTTTCCTAACTGTGAAAAAGAATCTCCTGAATTTCCTCATCAGAAAAAGCCACAAAAGGACCTTAGGAAAGAAGTATTTGCTTTTTTCTGCAAAATTAGAAACATATAATTTGTATTTTATGCATGGATTTTAATTTCTAAAGATGGAGTACAATTTGCCACACCCCTATCCAAAGGAGTAGTGGACTCTTTTAAGTAATACAGTGGAATATTTTACGAAACCATAAACTGTCTGATGTATCTTGTAACCAAACTGTTAAGTAATTTCATAGCATGTTTGTAATCCTTTTCTTGCTCAAATCTATCATCCTGTAACTTAATCCTCAATAGACTAAAGAGATTTACACTAAAATTACAAGACCTATTCCATTTACTTTTTGTACTAGGTGATTGTGAAGATCATAAACAATAAATAATGGAAATCCCTCTTGGATTTGTAGTTTTCAAAGGAAATGATGTTGGGCTTTTGTATATTGTCTTTTTAATTGGTTCCTCATTGTTTTTAGAATCACATGTAACTATCTGGCCCAGCGTTTTGCAATCTGGGCCCACTTATATTATCATATGTTTATCTCCCACTGCCATTGTCACAAACTAAACCCTTCCACCAAAGGAGTTCTTTGCAGACCTTCCCTCACTGTGTACGGCTGGGTACTCACTCCTGTCCCATCATGCCCCATATAAAAATTCTAAGGTCCATGTTATTTGTCACTCCTTCTTAAAGCCTTCCTTGGATCTTCTCCTCCACTAATTGGAATAAATCTATCTGCCTCTGGGATTTTAGACTGCTTTTAAGTACCATTTTAATGAAATGCATGATTTTGGGCCTTATTATACAGTTGTTTAAGTTCAAGTCAACTCTAAGTTCTGTAAATAGAAGAACCACATCTAATTTTTCATTGCCCTTCTAGCACCCAGCAAGGTACATTTTAAATGGTTGTTGATTATGAATGAATGTCCTACAAATTAAATTTAAATTCAATGCTCCTTTTTGGTGTGCATGACTTTCTGTCATCACTGCTTTTGTAAGGACTGCTCTTTTATACAAAGAATGGAGTGTGTAAACACAAACGTCCAGATGCCATTGCCTTATTCCTTATATTTTCTTCTATACCTTTGAACGTACTTTTAATTGATGCTGAAAAGTCTGTGTCTGCTAGTTCCACACTTGGGTCATATCAAACTTGATCTCCATTGATTGCCTTTTATCATACGTATCTAACAAATTTGGATTGTATTTTGGACACTTTGAGTAACACAGAGTCTCTGAATTCTCTTATGTTCCATTGAAGACTACAAATATTTTGTTTCATGGCTGAACCCTAATTCCAGACTCTGCAGTTCCACTATTTTAGCCTTAACTGAGCTGCTTGAATCTATTCAGTATATCCATAGTTCAGAGGTTACCTAGAGACTTGAGTCAAGCTGGTATGCAAGATGTGCAGTTCCCTTTCCCTAACTCTCTCTTCTCCAGGATCCTTCCCCTTCAGTTTCCAGGGGCTCAGTTCACCCTGAACTTGTCCTTTGTCCATGTCAGATAGGCTGCGGGTTTCTTTCTGAATTTTAACAACACTGCATACCCTGATAAGGACCTGCACCCAGAATAAGATTAGTTAAAAATGTAACTAGGAATGTAACTAAGTGCCTTTTACTTCTTCCAAGTATTGATTCCCTTCCTGTGCCTCCTTTTGTTCACTCTCTAGTGCCCTTACGTAGTTGGTTGTTTATGTGTTCCTGGAGTTTAAGCTATTCTTGTAAGAAGTGTGGTTTGATAGGAGTTACTAGGCCTTTACCAGAGCAGACACTTTTCCCCTTTAGAAGTTAATGAGCTTAAGGAGATAATACAATTCTATATCCTAAATGATTTAAATTCCCGATCCTGGCTTCTAAATTAGCCTCTGCACTTATTCATGCTTTCTTTCTTTTTCCTTGTACCAGTTTTGGTTTTAAATCTAAACTCTGCAGTCATTTCCAACAAAAAAGCGGTTTAAAAAAAAAAAACAAAAACAACAAAAACGATAATTTTCCTGAAAGCAAATAGCATTCACTGCCCATCGCCCTGCCTTTTGCTGATCTCCATTCCTCCCTCCATCTAGGTCCCCACTCTGTCCTTTGTGAAAGGTAATTTTGCCCCACTTGGAAACTGTGGTACTAAAAATATTGGAGTACTCCAGCAGTCTTAACAATGAACTCTTTCAGTCAGTTAAGCAGCTGCCTTCAGCTTGGTTCATGATCCCAGAGTTCTGGGATGGAGCCCCACATCAGGCTTCCTGCTTGGAAGGGGAGCCTGCTTCTCCCTCTCCCTCTGCCTGCCACTCTGCCTACTTGTGCCCTCTCTGTCAAATAAATAAATAAAATCTTAAACAAACAAACAAAACAAAAACAACAACAAAAAACACAATGAACTCTTTCGAAACAAATAGATGATGCATGTTAAGGAGGGCACTTGTAGTGATGAGCACTGGGTATTATATGTCAGCCATGATTCATTAAGTTCTACTCCTGAAATTAATACTACACTGTAGGTTAACTGACTAGAATTTAAATAAAAACTTGAAACAAAAAAAAAAAGTTTAAGACTGTCCATAAAAGAAATTCTTGTCTCCAATCCAAAAAGAATTGAAAATTTTCATTTTACAGACATACTTCTCATTTTCCTATGAGAAATATTTAAAACATTTTCTTGTCCGTTGTTATAGGAAAGGAAGCATGTAGGGAAAGTTTTGTCCTCCTGGAGAATTTTTTCCCCCAAGCAATTCTCTGTGATACCTCCTGAGTATCCTATAATTTAACTCAATTCTGATATTATTAGAGAAGATAGATATATCTATATATCTGTATATACATAAATATATATCTATCTACCATCATGTGAAAGATATTCTTCTTTATGTACCTATAAAAATGTAGAAGAGACCTTAGTAGATATGACAACTGTCATATCTCTGACTAGATTTATATGTTTAAATTAGTGGGGAAACCCTACTTTGGTCTCAAGTTCAAGTTCAAGCACTTTGCAATCCAGACTTACCAGTAACAAATCAGGTGCTTTGATCTCTGTTTGCTATGGATTCCTATTGGGATACCCTATTATTCAGAACTCTAAATGGGATTTATCAGAACCAAGTCACCAGATCCCATCCTAAACCATCAGTACAAATAATAGTAATAACAAACACTTAGGTAGCACTTAAAATGTGGGAGGCATGGTTACTCTAGCACTTTATATATGTTACTCATTCAACTGTTGCCAAACCCGATGAAGGTTACAGATGAAGAAACCAAGGTACAGAGAGTTTAATGGTCACATAGCCAGTTAGTGGTAGGGCTATACTACAAAGACCGTGCTCTTAACCTCCACATACTTGCCTACAATTGCATGGAGGTTCTTATACTTCAGGGCCATTTTTAGATTCCATCTATGAATGTTTATTTTAT